TCCTATTTCGTTTAAGGTTATGAAGGACTGGTAGTAGAATTTTCCCACAATGATATGAGTAGAGCTGACGCTTCCATTCAATTTCACATAGCCTTGCTTTCCAAAAAGTAGTTCTCATCCATGAAGGACTGCAGTTTCGACCACGCATAGGTCTTATCAACACCCCCAGCAGTAGTTAACGTGTCGAGCTGACACACTGCACTGTCACGGTTCGACTCATGCTGGGGTATTGATAAGACCTATGCGAGATCGAAAATGCAGTCCACCCTGGATAAAAATAGCTTTTGGGAAAGCAAGGCTATGTGAAATTGAATGGAAGCATCAACTCTATCCATATAATTGTGGAAAAACTTTACTACCAGTCCTTCATCACCTTAAACGAAATAGGGTGAATACATCTCATATTGAAATATTCGGCCATAAAACATTAAGAATCTGTTGAGTGAATTTTAAAGAATGATTTCAGATAAAAGCACAAATAAGGCAAAGTAATAAAGTAACAAAAGATAGGTGAATCACAAAAGACTTGAAACTTTTAAGAACACTGCGAAAAAAAGGACAACGAAAGTGCATTTGGCTATAGTCATGTTTCCTATAAGAATCACGGTTCTATTCCTTCCATAAAAGGTTAAGAAATGTTTTCTTGACTACTTTTATTGTGGTAAATATGAAGATATAAAAAAGCCTGTCGTGAATAATTCGAAAAGACCCAAAAAGCGCACGCTTTTTTTCAATAGCCACTTTTCACCTTGCATTTAAATAAGGACACTGTCGAAGCCAATCATTTAACAAAGTAAGACTAGGATCATATCATTTTGATATCAACAATTATTTTTCCATTTCCCTTTCAATGCAAACCAAAGTTCTAGAATAGGAGTTTAATAAAACCCATATATCAAAATAAACAATTTGGAAAGTAAAGCTGCGTTATATCTCATGATTTTGATACTGACGGCACCAAATTTAGCAAACTTCCTAAATTTAGTTAAATAGCTAAATTAATATTATCTTATGCAAATGATCTTCAATTTTATGCAAAAATATATTAAAAGTGCATCATCAAGTGAGCCTAAAGTCAAGATTATTGGTAAAAAAATGACTGGCACGATTTTATGTTATCTCCATAAACTTATTTTTGAAATGGCTTTAACTGAAAAAATTACATCAGAAATTTTGCGGAAGCAAAATGAAAATATAAATCCAGACAACGTGGAATTTAAATGAAAAGCTAGATCGTTTTTACACCGGATATACGTAAATAGTCCCGAATTCTGCTAGTGCGTGGTACATAAATAATCATTTTTAGAGGGCAATAAAACTCATAGCAATGTGGAAAAATCACCTGCCAAAATCGCACAACTTGAGGACACCGGTCGAAGGGTCGAGAAGAAGGTTTTGTGGCTTGATGTCTCTGTGACAAATGGCAGAACTGTGGATATAAGCTAAGCTGCGAAAAAGCTGGTACATGTATAACTGGAGGAGGCAAGGAGACAGCAGAAATCAATGCGGGATCAAATGAAAGGGATGGGGAAGGGAAGTTTGCAGAAGAATGATGGAAGTTTGGAAACAATTTTCTAGAAGAGATAAAATAGCAAAAATGCATGAGTATATAAATAAGTGTAATTATTACTTTCGAATAAAGGTTTAGTTTAAAGATTGAGGGACGAACATATTTGTCACTTAAGGAAAAATGACATCCATTGATAAAAAATAACTACAAATACTAATGGAGTAATATAAATGCAGTCATCAGGGAGTCTTGTCTTATGGATGAAGGATCGTTATTTGTTGACAGATGTATTCAGACAATGGTAGAATAAAAAAAGCTCTGAGCAGCTTAAATACAACGGTGCCATTAGTCTCTTAATTAATAGTTAGAAGTATGGTAGCATTTTAAAGATCTGGCTTCACATAAAAAACTTAATATCTTAATCAGTAAAGTGTCAAGTATTCAGTAATCGGGGTGATGCGTTACATAGTTCAAAAAGAATATTAAATTTAGATAACCTAGGACAGATGTTAAGACCTGTTGTGAAGTTTAGCAACTGCACGCACATATACATATACACCTAATAAAGAAAGACATGAAAGAAAACCGACCAAATCTTTCTAAACCTCCTGAAACTCATGTTTTGTGAAAGCTTCTAGAGGGTAGACAAGAGTCAACTAGTTTTATTCATTCGATGTAAACTAGAAGTCATCAAAACTCGATGTCTGCCATATGACAAACGACAGCTATGTACGTTTTTATAGGAATCGAAAAGGGAGGCCTTGGGGGTTATGTCGTCTTTTAGCTTTATCACTCGTTTCCACACTAATCGAAAGTCCAACTTAAGTGATACATCAACAGATTCATATAAACCTTTAACAAATGTCATTCCAATGTCAAAATAATCATAGAATACTAATTAAGGTATACCAGAAGAAGAAACCACCTAAGACATAAGAGAATAATCCACTTTACTCAAGTTTATTAGCTAATTATGAATATTTTGTCAAAAATATTATATTTATTGGATTGTAAGTGGTGCTATCAGTTTTAGTATAACATTAGAGAACAATTTAGCTGTCTTTAAATAAGTGTAAATAAAAAAGGACTATTATTTATTAATACATAAATATAATCATATCCTATAAATAATTCAATAATCATCGATATAAAAATGTATATAAGTTATTTGCCCCTGTTTTCTCAACTTGGTCATATTCTCAGGATGACCTTGTCCTGAGTCCAAAGTATGCATAATAATTTCAACACGGACCGTAGAGTAGATACATTCCCAGATGTTTCGCCTGCATAGAAGTCAGAACCATACTCGGCAACGTCAATGATCTTTGCCAATAACTTTTCAAGGAGAAGAGAAGTTAATCCTTTGACCAATTGTCTGATAAACAGTTGTGGTATCTCTCCTGCCCTGGCGTATTCGCCTATCCCATATAGTCGTAACACCCCTTCACTATAATAATTACTTAATTGCTTATTTAGACCTGGTTAAAGTGTGCCCTTTAATTGACCGGATTTAGTGAAACTTATTCACATGCTCCGCAGGTTGCCACATCCCTCCACTGTACTAAAAATGTTGATCCAATGATACAGTTAAGTCCACAATCCTCTTATTCCAGGTTCTATGAGTCTTCCTCTTTCTCCGTAGGATCTGTCTCTTATCTGCCTGGTGAATGATCACACTCAATCGTTGCCGTCATATCGATGCGACTCGAAGCAAAATGTTATACACTCTACCTCAAGCCTTTTATAGCACGTATACACTAGCCTCACAGAGCAAGGATGGATTTGCATGGGAACCTAGTGTGACGCTGCAGACTCCGTAATTACTGTACCTTGA